ATTCCTTGAAGACCTTGGACTGAGGTGTTGGCTTGGAGGCCTTCATAGGAGGTTACGACAAGCTGAAAGAGCAGGTTTCCAGTCATCTTCCCCTATTCAACTAGAACAGTTTCACTTTTTCCTGTTTTAGAAATGTATGATTTCTTTTGAAGAAAAGGATCTGTTGCTAAGGTAGAAACATTTGAAACTGTAGAAATGGTATAGGAATGGTATAGGTAAAGTAGCTCTGCCTAGGTCCAAATCCTGATTTTGCTACTTCCTTGTTGTGTGACCCTGGGCAAATGATCTAACCTCTCTGAGCCTCAGTTTTCTCATCTAAAAAATGGGAACGATGACAATAGTACCTACTTCAAAGGGTTGTTGTGAGGTTTAATGAGTTAATGCATAGAAATTGCTTAGATCAGTTCTTGACACATAGTGGTTAAGAAGTGTTGGCTATAATTAGTGAGGAGTCCCTAGGTGATGCAAATGGCTAACACACTCAGCTGCTGACGGAAAGGTTGGAGAGTCAAGTCCACCAAAGGTGCCTCAGAAGAAAGGCCTGGCGACCTACTTTCCAAAAAATCAACCACTGAAAACCCTATAGAGCACAATCCTACTCTGACATGGTCTCCATGAGACGGGGTCGACTCAATGGCAACTAGTTTTGTTCTTTTGTGTAATTAGTGAGTATGTTCGATCTTCTAACTTGGAAGAAAGGGGAATTATTAGGTTTAACATTCAGCTATCTTATGAATGAACTTTCTCCAAAGCCTTCTGTGTTTTAACCCATAGAGGGACTAACGGTGGAAGATTCAGACCTTGTGACTAGCTTTGGTTTAGGGTAGAGGAGGACCTTCTTAACATCCCACAAATCTCATCACTTCATCAGCTCCTACCATACCCTTCTCTAGGGCTGACCCTGACTCTGCCTTCTTACTCAGGAAGCGTGGGTATGTTCTGAATCGTTTCTGTCCTTTACTCTGTTTCTAACTCTTGCTTCACTTTCCCCACAATCTTTCCCTAGTCCAGGGCTTAGTCATCCTTCATGTAGACTACTGCAAGCCCCTCCTGAGGTCATCACCGGCTCTTAGCCCCACCCCACCCCGACTTGCCTGCTGTCTTAATCATCTAGTGCTGCTGTAACAGAAATACCACAAGTGGATGGTTTTAACAAATAGAAGTTTATTTCCTTACAGTAAAGTAGCTGAAAGTCCAAATTCAGGGTGTCAGCTCCAAGGGAAGGCTTTCTCTTTCTCGGCCTTCTCATCAGTGTTCCCCTGGACTAGGAGCTTCTTGGTGCAGGGACCCCGGTCCAAAGGACTGCTCTGCTCCCGGCAGTGCTTCCTTGATGGTATGAGGTCCCCCAATCCTCTGCTTGCTTCCCTTTCCTTTTATCTCTTGAGAGATAAAAGGTGGTGCAGGCCACACCCCAGGGAAACTCCCTTTACACTGGATCAGGGATGTGACCTGGGTAAAGGTGGTGTTACAATCCCACCATAATCCTCTTTAACATAAAATTACAATCACAAAATGGAGGCCGACCACACAATTCTGGGAATCATGGCCTAGCCAAACTGATGCACACATTTTTGGGGGGACATAATTCAAACCATGACACCTGCCAAAGATGTTTCTATCTGTTCCTACTCTCAAGCTGCCTTCCCCTCAGAACCCTGGCTTTCCAGGTGGTAAAGGGGGCACAAGGTATGCTGGGGCCCGAGGCTGTGAGGAAGGGAGTGATGTGAATCATTCAGTCACCACACATGCACTCCTGCCATGTTCCACCCCCTGTGGGATATAATTTATTTCACAGCCACTGTTCTCATGGAGCTTACAGTCTACTGGGGAAAACAGAAACAAAATCAGACAAGTACAGTAAATCCCAGGAAAAGCTGTGACACTGTGTGAGCACAAGGGAGAGGCACCTCATCCAGGTTGCAGAGTGTCAAGAATGGCCTCCTCTGGAGGAAGTGACAGCTGAGTTGAGTTTTGAAAGGTGACTAGGAGTTTCCTGGGCTGAGAATTTGGATGGGAGTTGCATTTCAGGCAGAAAAAACAACTGCACAAAGCATAAATAAGAGACTCAAGGTGTGTGTGTGGATTAATCAGGATCAGGATTTGGACTAAGCAGGTATGACCCAGGAGCAGAGGCTAGTTCTGCTGAGGTCAGGCAGGCCATCCCAGGTTCCACAGGACAGACTTAGGAGTGACTCAACCAGGTCAAGGAGTGTCTCAGGCATGACGTGACACAGTCAAGAACTTGGCAAGCGCTTGTCAGAACCCCAGCCGAATCCACTGCTGTGTAAGGATTACATGAGATGATGTATGTCTAATGCTCTATGTAAGGATTACATGAGATGATGTATATCTAATGCTTAGGGCAGTGCCTGGCTCAGAGTAAACACCCAGTAAATTGTAGCTATTATTATTATCATCATTGAATCACATTGTTAGCATCATAGAAAGAACTGGCAGAGGCTATATCTGGAGGAGGCCCTACAGAAGATCTGTTAGAGAACCGTTACATCTGGGCTGAGTTTTTGTGGGGAGTTGGTTCTTACCTTTTGTGGAAAATGGGCTCTTTGGAGAATCTGATGAAAGCTGTGGATCCTCTTCCCAGTAAAAGGCACATCTGCTCTCGTGAAGCTTTGCATCTTATTTCAGGGAATTCACAGATTCCTGGAAGGCTGGCTTATATGAAACCCGTTTGGACACAGCTGTTAGTTGCCAAACATGGCTGAGAAGAGTTCCCACTATTATCTCAGTTTATTATTCCAAGTGAAAACCATAGCAATGTAGTTTCAATCCTGGGAATATCCTGTGTGTTTTAAGATACAAAGTGGCATACTGAGGAATGGGTAGAGGAGGCAGGTCGGTGACATGGTTTGTTTCATGGACAGGCAACCTCTGTAGTGGCACAGAGCCCCGCGCTTGGTTTAAGGCTCTGCTTTGTCACCTATCTTGAAATTCTTAATTTTTTAACAAGGAGCCCCACATTTTCATTTTGCACTGGGCCTCACAAATTATGTAGCTAGTCCAGGTAGAAGATAATAACCCTAGCTAGCATTTAAGGGTTTACTAGTTAGCAGCAAACAAACAGCCTTGCTGGGACTAGAACCCAGGCTGTTTGGGTCCAGAACCCTGGGTCTTAACCACTAGATCATAGTGCCTGCTGAAACAAGCGGGCCGGTGAGAGTGGAGAGGAAGGGAAAGAACCGAGCAGCATCCTGTTCCTTCTGCTGGAACCCTCTTCTCCCCTCCACTGCCCCTCCTTCCCTCCTGTTGTCGTCTCAGCATCAAGGTCACTTCCTTGAGGAAGTGTTTCTTGGTCTCCAAATCTAAATTATGCTCCCTCTTTATTCTCTCTTACACCTTTTATTTTCCTTCAAGGCGTTCATCAGAATTTATAATTATGTATTTATTTGTATGTTTGCTCGTTTTAATGACAATCCCTCACCAGATTGTTCACACAATGAGGGCAGAGATTCTATCTGTTTGGTTCATCTCCTCATCCACTACTGAGAGCCTGGCACATAGTAAACACAACAAAATTAAAAAACCCAAACCTGTTGCTGTGGAGTTGATTCCAACTCAGGGTGACCCCATGTGTTACAGAGTAAAACTGCTCCATAGGGTTTTCAAGGCTGTGACCTTTCAGAAAATGAGGGCCAGGCCTTTCTTCCGAGGCACCTCTGGGTGGCTTTGAACCACCAAACTTTCTCTTAGCAGTCAAGTGCAAACCATTTGCAGCACCCAAGGACCTTGGCAATAAGTATTTCATTGATAGTAGTTTGGAAAGTACCCAGAACGTGATGATGGGCCAGATGAGATAGGGAGATCCTGAGGATGACCCAAGGGTTCCCTCTTGGGTGATGCTAAGCTTCAGGATGAATAAAGGAAGTTGGGATGTAGGGTGGGGATGATTAAAAGGATTTGGGATGTGTTGCATTTGGGTGCTTTTGGGGGTGGCTTGGAGAAGGCAGTCTTCTGCCAGCAAGCCTTTTTTAACTCCGTCTCCACTGCAGTCTGGGCTAGGGGCTGATTCTGCCCTGGGCAGAACTCTACCATCACTCTTATCACTGGCGTGCCCATGGGAGCCTGTCTGTTCCCTGGGCTGTGAAGCACCATGGGGGTTCATCTCCAGATCCCAGGGTCCCCAGGAGTATGTACACAGTCAGGGCTCAATAAATGCCAATAGAAGGAAAGATGAACAGAAAGAAATGTGGCCAGGTGAAAGACGGGGGCTCAAATGAGAAGCAGATCTGTGGGCAGGAGTGGAAGCCAAGATTGGAACCCTGGGGCCCTAGAGACAGGTGGACAGAGGAGTGCTCCAGAGCCCTCGGGATGCCAGCCAGGGACAGGGCCAAGTGCTTTATTCACATGGCCACATTTCATCCTCGCATCAACACTGAAGGAAACATTTCTACTCGGTTAATGAGAAGACTGAGGCTCAGAGAGGTGATACGATTTGCCCAAGGTCACACAGCGAGTGAGCAGCGAAGCCCAGGTCTGACCCAGAGTTGTCAGGCCCCAGCCCCGCGCTCTTCCGCTTTACTCCCTGCCTCTCCCCACCTCCCCTCCTCCCCTCCGCTCCCGCGGCTGCCCCGCCCCACCCCTCCATTCCCTCCCCTCCCTCCCTTTAGGTGTTGGCGGCGGCGGAGCCACGTGGTGGGGCCGGGAAGCCGTGGCCGCCGAGCGCCCGGGCGGCTGCCCCAGCTGGGCAGTACAGTGCTGCGCTTGGTTCCTGCGCTCCGCGCTCCCCGCCAGCCGCCCCGGGGCAGGAGGCGCGCTTGGCTGCCGGCCGGCCAGACAAAGGAGGCGCGGCGGACGGACCATGGACTCGGAGCGCGGGCAGCCAGCCCCAGCCCTGAGGACCCGACACTCTCGACCCCGGCCCTAGGCGCCCGGCCTCGCCGCCCGGGGCGCCCCGCGGGGAGACGCGGAGCCCGCGCGGTGCGGACGAGGCAGCGGCCGCCAAGCAAGAGGGGGCGACGCGGCGGGCGGCCCGCGCGGCCCCCGGAGCCATGGGCAAGTGCAGCGGGCGCTGCACGCTTGTCGCCTTCTGCTGCCTGCAGCTGGTGAGCGCCGGGCGCCCGTGCGGCCGGGGCAGGGTGGGGCGCGGCTGGGCGGGGGCCGGGGCGTGCAGATGGGGTTAGGTGTCTGTGTGTGTCTGGTCCGAGTGCCCTGGTGGGGGGTGGTCTGGAGTCACAGAGCGGACGGGCGGAGCCTGCTCCTGCTGGCCGGGCTGTCTCTTTGTGTGCGCTTCTCGCCGCGGTGCCTGGCGCTCTCCCGTTCCCTGAGTGCGTCCTGTGCGCGAGTACTCGGCCCGCCCCGCTCATGGGGCTCTGTGCGTCTGCCCCGTCCTGGATGAGTGGCCCCTTGTTCGCTGTGGGGCTACGGCTCTCTGGGGCTGGGGGTGTGTCCGAGGCTGGTCAGTGGATCTGTGGAGGTCCCTGCCGTGCATTTCCCTCTAAATCGCTCCTTGCGTGGGTTTTCCTCTGGGTCTCTCTTTCTGGCCTCCGCCCAGTGTTTCTCACAAAGTCTCTGCTCCTCTGTGTCCCTCGCTTGGTTTCTCCTCGGTGTGTGTCTCTAGATTTCAGGTCCCTCTTCACTGTGTGTTTTGGGATCTTAGGCTTAAAGAACCGTTCGCCCCTCCTTTGTGCGGTCTCTGCTTCCTTTCACCCTCCCTACTGGGCAGGCCTGAGAGTGGAGAGCCACCTCCCCTAAGAGGGTCACAGAAGCTGCCAGGTCATGACCCTGCCGGGCACTGGAACCCCCTGCCTGCTTTGGCTGTGGCCACAGTGGCCAAGGGTGTTCCATCAGGCATCCGTTCCAGCAGAGCAGCAGGGGTGGGGACTTGCAGACTATTTCCTCTCCCCTGTCTGGTACTAGTGGGTGTGGGGACAGTTGGGTGCCCTGGGACGACTGGAGCAGCTGGGGGCACTATGCCTGCCCCCATCTGAGGTTACTTAGGACTTTGCCTCAGTAAGGCCAGTGGACTGAATCTGGGGCTTAGGGAGACTGACTCTGCCCCTCAGGTCAGGCCTTGGTAGGTGAATTTGGGAGGCAATTAAGGAGAAACCAGGGTCTCCTGCCTACCTTGTGGCTGAGACCCAACAGGTAGGGGCTTTGAAGCTGTGCTTCTCCAGGCAGAGGTGCATGGGGACCTCAGAACTCAGGTACGAGCAGGAGTTGGGGGAGCCTGAGCCTCACTGGTGCGGGACTCCAAGATCTAGGTCTCCATTGAGGTCAACTCTCCCCACCTCACCCTTCACCCCAAGGTGCCTGTGATACCGCAGAGTGAAGTTTTCATTTGGATGTGCAAACCATCTCATTCACCTTGCTTCTCTCCCTGGGGGAACCCAGCCCCAAACTTGCCATTGACAGACCTGCTCTCTGGGGCAGCAGAGAGCTCTGAGCTCTGAGGATTACCATCCTGCTCCCAGCACTGGGATTCTGGGCAAGTGACTTCCCTGGCTAGGCCGCCTTAGTCTGCCTCTCTGTAAAATGCTCATCCCGGAGGCTTGCAGAGGGCAGTAATTAAGACCAGGTAGAGTGGAAACTCCAGAAGGGCCAAGATTGTCAGTTTTGTTCCCTGTTAAATCCCCAGCAGCTGGAACGGTGCCTGGCGCTCCATTAATATTTGTAGAATAAATGAATGAATCAGTTATTTGGTAACTCCTGGTTCATAGTAGAAGCGCCCTTCTTTATCTACTTTGATAATATAAAATGCCAAAAAATGTTGAAACCTTTCAGAGAATGCCTTACAGGTTCTTTTTCTGTGTTCGTTCACTTTTTATATTTTAACTAGTTTTTTTTTCTTTTAATTGGAAAAGTAATATACATATGTGGTAAAAATGAAAAGATCAGTCATTAGACAGCAGAAGATAAAATAACGTTCCTTCCCCTTATGCTCTGTTCTACTCCCCAAAGATAAGCACTGTTAATAGTTTGTTCCCTTGCTCATTCTCTGATGATAGTCACAATGGTTAGCTCTGGAGAACACATACTGGGTACCAGGTGTTCTTGTAAGTGCTTCTGTGTGTATTAACTCATTTAAGCCTCATAAGCAAATAAAACCAAACTCATTGCCATTGAGCTGATTCTGTCTCATGGCGACCTCATGTGTTACACAGGAGAACTGAGTTCCATTGGGTTTCCTTGGCTGTAATCTTTACAGAAGCAAATCCCCAGGCCTTTCTTCCACGGTGCTGCTGTGTGGGTTTGAACCATCAACCTTTTGGTTAGCATCCGAGCACAAACTGTTTGCGCCATCCAGGGACTTTGTAATAACCTTATAAAGCTATTATTATTACTGTTATTGACATTTTACAGATGACAGTGAAGTACCTTGCCCAAGGTTCTTAAGCTAGGGCTGATTGTGGAGTGGGTCCCTCCAGCTGTTTCTAACTCCCAGGAGACCCTGCTGCCTGGCAGCTTCTGTAACTAATGTGCGACTGGGATGCTGGAATTCATCAGCCTGAGGCGAGAAGAGAGCCTCAGTTTTCTCATGTAACATAAAGAGATGCGAAGGAAGAGGCTGTTAAATGTTTTCCAGCTGAAAATTTAAGAGGAGGAACTGTGTCATTTTTCTGTATCAAATGGGGTTTCATCATAACAGTAAAACAGGTCAATTCTAAACAATCTTTTGTAGTTGGGATAGACTTGCTTTGTGTGGCACAGTACAGTGAGGCTATGCTGGGGGTGGGAAGCAGTGGGGGGTCTTGCCATTCAGGTGGACAAGCGTAGGGTAGTAGGTAGGGTTCTGGAGTCTGACAGGACAGACCTAGATTTGAGTCCCAGCTCTGTCACTTCCTAGCTGTGTTAGCCACAGTTCTGTCACCTGTTAAATAGAGATTACCAAACCGTTTATCAAAAGTTTCTAATTCTTAGGGGTTGTTGTGAGGATTAAACGCATGTAGTGAATTTAACACTGTGCCAGGCACAGTGAGTGCTCTATAAACTATAGCTAGCTTTTTATTGTCATTATCTTAGTGATTTTATACCATAGGATGCTCTCCTGGAATTGTGGCCCAGACGTATCCGGGCACCCCCTGCACATTCCTTTGTGGGAAGCGGCAGTTAGTTGGGCACTGAACTGAGGCAGGAGGCCTGGATTCAAGCCTAGCTCTGACACTGACTCCTGTGAACGTGGGCAAGTCTCTTCCCCAACGTAAACCAAAAAACCCATAGCTGTCAAATTGATTCTGACTCATGACAACCCCAAGTGTTGCATAGTAGAACTGCTCCATAGGGTTTTCTTGGCTGTAATCTTACGGAAGCAGATCGCCAGGCCTTTCTTTTGTGGTGTTTCTGGGTAGACTTGAACTGCCAACTTTCAGTTAATAACCAAAGCAAACCATTTGCGCCACCCAGGGACCCCAATGTAGACCTCAGCTTTTCCATCTGTAAATTGGGAAGAACGATTGGTCTGGCTCTCTAAAGCCCTGCCAGCTCTGCCCTCCCAGGACTCTGGGATGGTGTCTGGGCTGGCATGGAGGTTCTGGTGCATCTCCGGTTCCATTCTGTAGAACCTCTTGAGTTCTGTGTTTCCTGGGTTCTATTTGCTGCATCATCTTGGCACCATTGTTAACCCTATTCACTCTCTAATTAGTATGTTTCCCTGCCCAAACCCTGCCCTTCCTTCCTGGTCCACCTCCTTCCTGAAACCTCACAGACCACTCTGTTCTTCCTGTAACAGGACTAACCGAGGTTTGCCCAAGGGAATCATCATCAATTTCTTCATCATCATCATTATCACTTCCATTTCTGGAGTCTTGTGCTAAGCACTTTATATGCGTCACCTCATTTAACCAAATAAGCTTACATATGTAGAGCGCTTGGCAAAGTGCCTGGTGCATGTTAAGCCATCAATAGACCTTAGCTATTTTACTGTTTTTATCCTTCTTCTTATTCCACACAACAGGATAGATGCTTTTATTATCCCCTTTTTCAGATGAGGAAATTGAGGCTCAGTGAGGGGACGAGGTCTGACTGAGGTCACTAAGCTAGTCATTGACGGAGACAGGGTGCAAGCATGCTTTGTCTGCACAGAGAGCCACCCTCTCCTCCCGGAGCTCTCTGCTGCTCAGCGTTAACCGGTGTGTGACCTCAGACAGGTCTATCCACTACTCCAAACCTCACTTTCCTCATCTGAAAATGAAAGTGATAATATCAGTAGGATCAGGCACAGTGCTGGGCACTGTGAGCCAGTTGAGCGCTCAGTGAAACATCACTGCCACGATTGTTCTTGTCCCAGCTCTGTGTGACCTTGGACATGTGCATTCAGTCCTCTGGACCCGTTTCTTACTCTGTAAAAGACAAAGTATCATCCCTGCCTCACAGAATGCCTGTCTCTCTGTAGCCAGGTGCCCTGCGTGTAATAGTCACTCAGAAAACACTGGTTTCATTCTCTTCCCTTCTGGAAAGCTCTTTGCTTTCTGGAAGGTGGTGAGTGAGGGGGGAAATATGTTGCTTCTGGCTGAGCTGCGAGTAATGGGGTGAAACGTGGTCAACCTGATTGATGTCGTTATTAGCAGTAGTGATGGTGAAGACTGGAGGGAGACAGCTCTGGCAGGGGCCGCCGCTCCCAAGCAGCTGCATCCGCAAGCTCTCGGTTTCCTTGGGAGGGTCTGACTCTTCTCTGGGTGGTTGAGATCCTTGGGCCAGGCAGATTATAAAATGTCCATCCCAGACCCTTTAGAGTCAGGAGCATGACACTAGCCAGGACACTGACCCCTTTTCATCCTCACACCCCTTTGGACAGCATGGAGCTGGGGTGACCAGCTCCCTTTTGCAGATGGGCAGACTGAGGCCAAGCACAGCCCTCAAGGCCCTTAAGAGGAAGGGAGAGCAAGGTGGAGTGAAGAAGAGGGTCTAGTGGAGAAGAGGGATGGCTCTGGTTCTGCTCTTTGCAGGGGTTGGTTTTTTTTTAGATAAGCACCCCATAAATGCCAGCTGCTCTGAGATCTGGCACAGGGATTAGGAGCACTGTCCTGGATCAGACAGATGTTGCTGCCTTGCTTTACAACTTCCAAAAACTCACTTACCCTTTCTGAGCTTCCAAGTCCTCACCTAT